CGCGGGCCCCGCAGCGCGCGTTGCGGGGCGCGGAGAGCCCTCACGGAGCTCCGCAGCGCCGCGGGGTGGGCGGGGAGCCGGGTGGGCTCCGGGGTCGTGGGGAGGCTCCGCACCCGCCGCCGCGCCGCGCTCACGGGCCGGGCAGGGCGGGCGGGAGGCGGCCCCGGGGCCCTGCGGAGAAGCGGGCGGGACATGGCGGCGGGCGTGGGGATGCGCGGCCTCGGCAGGGTACGGGCGGAGGGGAAGGGAAGGGAAGGGAAGGGAAGGGAAGGGAAGGAAAGGGAAGGGAAGGGAAGGGAAGGGAAGGAGCGTGGAGTCTGTGGGACACGGCACCCTGCGGGAGAGGGGACATGGGACCCTGCGGGACCGTGACCGGGCGGGGAGGCAGCGTCCCTCACATTGTTAAATGGAGCTTTTGGCTTCTCCCCCGCCCGAGCCGGGGCTGATCGGCTCCCCGATCCCCGGGATCCGGCTCCTCCGAGCCCCGGGAGCTGCGGGCGGGCGGCGCTGCCCCGACTCGCCGCGCTCCCTCTGACGGGCTGTGCGCGGTGCTCTCCCAGCTCTGCTTCGTCTGCAGGGGCTTTGAAGTGACTCTGAGAGAGATTTTTAAAGCATGTTCCGCGCAGCCACTGGAGAAGTTGAATGGGATCCTTTAGGGCTGAGCACTTGATACGGCTTCAGGTTGCTCATGGCATTTCAGCAGTGTCAGAAGTGTCAGGTGTGGTGGTGGATCTGCTGGGGTAGGAGTTGTGTGGCTGCAGAAACCAGCTCTGATTTCTTTAGTCGTGGAGTGGGGGATTCCAAAAATAAGGCTCTGATGTTTGTGTGTCACTGCTGACCGGTTTGTTTCACTTTAAAGCAATCTGGTGCTCTGAAAAGGAAGCTGCCCTCACCACATGGAAGCCCACCCGTGAAACAGAAACGTAAATTATCCTTAAACACCTTCAGGAAGGGTGCCACGGAGGCTGACAGGAGGGAGGAGGGAAGCTCATCACAAAAAACTGTTCCCAAGAAGCAGCTGACTGACAAACAGAATGAAAGCCAGAAGAACAAGCCTTTCATCAAGACATCCAGCCTGTTTAAAAACAACCCAGACATTCCAGAAATTCACAGGTATTTTAGACAAATGGAGAGAAAAAAAAACTCTTGGCAATGCCTTGAAATTCATTGTCTTGAATTCTTGCCCTTGCTTGGCAGAGCAGTTGCTTGGTGGATGAAGTTTCATTGCTGATTATGTAGAATGCTGTTGTATCATTTGCAACCCTCCTGTTTGTTTTGGTTTTGTTTCCACTAACTCAGAAAAGAAGTGCAGCAGGTGCAGGAAAATGTCTTCACTACAGATTCCTTCAGCCAGCTGGACCTGCACCCACATCTGGTGAGTGGCAGGAGGGCTGCATGCCTCAGAAACTTGGGGATTTTGGGTGAGGGGCAGGTCAGGGAGCCTTTATTCATGGTGACCTGGATACTTCACCTGATTTTGGCACTCAGGGTGTTGGTCCATGTCCTGATCTCTTCACTATTTACAGTTGTAATACCAAAAACCCACAGAAAACCAGCAGTGGTGTAATTCTGATTAACTAAGAAGTATTGTGAGGAGATGGGAACTTTATGGACCAGTTATGCAGGGAATAAATGTCAGTCTTGTGGGTTTTGTTCTGCCTTAGCAGTGCAAGAAATAACAAAAGGGACAGTTTGACAATCAAACCTTTATTTCTCTTTATTATCTCTCTAGATCTCCACAATAAACACTGTCCTAAACATATGCAGCATGACCAGGTAAGCCAATTAATATCAAAACTTTGCAGTTTGCCCCTCAAAGCCAATCACCTGTGATTATCTCATTATAGGGATTTTGGGTGAGGGGCAGGTCAGGGAGCCTTTATTCATGGTGACCTGGATACTTCACCTGATTTTGGCACTCAGGGTGTTGGTCCATGTCCTGATCTCTTCACTATTTGCAGTTGTAATACCAAAAAAACCACAGAAAATCAGCAATGGTGTAATTCTGATTAACTAAGAAGTATTGTGAGGAGATGGGAACTTTATGGACCAGTTATGCAGGGAATAAATGTCAGTCTTGTGGGTTTTGTTCTGCCTTAGCAGTACAAGAAGTAACAAAAGGGACAGTTTGACAATCAAACCTTTATTTCTCTTTATTATCTCTCTAGATCTCCACAATAAACACTGTCCTAAACATATGCAGCATGACCAGGTAAGCCAATTAATATCAAAACTTTGCAGTTTGCCCCTCAAAGCCAATCACCTGTGATTATCTCATTATATTTAATGGGTTTTGAAGGCCACAGTACCACTGTCCTGTATGCTGTTGGGTTTGTAGGGACTCCTGCACTTGAGTCATGATCCCATCTGGTTTGAATTTATCACATCTGCTGCCTGTCCAGTGACTTTGCTTAGAAATCACCTCAGCTGATGTAGCTGCACAGCAGAGATGAGGAATTTGGGGTGAAGAATTTTGAGACAGTCAGTGTGTGTTAAAATCTTGGAATTCCATCCTGTGTTGCATCTGCAATTCCTGCCCTGCTTTGTTTGTCACCCAGTGTTCAGAAGCAAACCATTCCTGTGCTCCTGCAAGGCAGAGATGCCCTGGTGAGATCTCAGACTGGTTCAGGTCAGTGTTGAGCTGTCACTGTTTTTTCCTCAGGGTGTGTTAACTGCATTTATTTAGGTAGATTTAGTGGGATACCACCTCTCTTTTCTAATTGACCCTTTATTGAATTGCCTGTTAATCTTCCATTCTGTAAACTTTCTACTTAATAGAAACTTTTCCAGACTCTGATTGCAGTTTAAGAATGGTGGGACAAATGGGGCTTTGGTTTGCTGGAGTGTTGAAATTGCCACTTTTTTTTTTAATGGAAAGTTTTCTTATTTTCTCCCTTCCAAAAAGGTAAAACTCTTGCCTATGGGATTCCACTTGTGCAGTCTTTGCAAGGAATGGAATCCAAAATACAGGTAGGTCCAACAGCATTAAATAAATTTGCTTTTGATACTAAGATTAATAAAAATAAAATCCAGCTCCTGTAGTCATTGCTGTCTCTTTTTCATACAAGCAATCCACATTCCCCTTTATTTGTATGTGGGACAGATGGGATTTCCCAGTTCTGTTGAGGTGTGGATGGTACAAGATCAATGTTAGCCACTCCCCATTGCTCCATGCTGCAGGATAAATTGGAAATGGGCTAAATTATCACGTGTGGAGAAGGTAGAGAGCAGGAGAAATGGTCTGACAGCCAGAAGAACTGAAAACAAAGGTTACTGCCATGTCTTTAGGTAACCTTTGGCATGGAGTGGGGTTGGGTAACGCTCCCAGTTTGGATCATACACCAGAAAATGCTGCTGCAGTTCTTGTGCATTTTATGGCAAGAGATCATCCTGACTGAAGGGTTGAAGCATTTCCAGCCCATCCTGGATTGTCACTCCTAGAGAATGTTGCTGTGCATCAAGCAGGAGAGCATCCCTGCAGCTCAGGAGCACGGGAGTGAAACAACAACATGTGTGTGCAAGAAAATGTTGGCTTTGACTCTGAGCACCTTTCCCAGAGGGACAAGAAGGCAGCGTAGGATTGATACATGCAAAACTTGATTTTATAAAAGCTGTGGGGCAGAAATACCCCAAAATATCATGTACAGAGTTGCACTGAAGCCCTTCAGTGGTGGCTGGGAGCAGGTGGAGGGCTGTGCTCAGTGCTGCCTTCTCTCAGAGCCCTGCCCTTGTGTGTTTGCAGCGCAGCGACGGCCCCTACGCGCTCGTGCTCGTCCCCACCAGGGAGGTAGGTGCCTTTTCCTTTCTCCATCTGTCTGTGCACTGATCTTTGGGGGTGTGGGTCCACCAGAGTTCCCCACATCAGAAAACACTGTCAGTCCTTTTGCTGAGATCCTGCCCTCACAGAAAGTGTTGTCACTTTTGTTCAGCGCCAAGCAGAGTAAGAAAGGAGCTTCTCAGTTCTCATTCTGCAGTTGGAAACCTTTGCCTGCAGAAGCTCTCTGGCTCAGTGCAGGGTTCCTGCTTCCCTCCTACAGGGGGAATGAGTAAAACCAATGAACTCAGCTTTGCAAATGTTGTAGCTTTATACAAGTATTTCATTTTCAAAGCTGTTTTTTCAAATCCATAAGTGAATGCTGAAGCTGAGGCCTCCAAGAGTTGGTTTCTCCATTGAACTCTTCTATTTAATTTATATTATTTGCAACTGCAAAGGCAGTGTCAGAAGAGGTTATCAACCTTTGTTATTTTTGTTTGGTATGTCAAATGATAATAACTTCCATGTGGAGAATTGATTGCAGGTATCTCATTTGGGGTCCAATATTTTATGCAGCCTGCAGTGCAATATCTCTGCTCTGTTACCTGAAAGGAGAAGGCTCTGAAGCTATTTAAATTTTTACAGCAACAACTTACTGCCTCTTTAGGATGCCATGTGAATACTAAGCATGGAGGAAACTGTGTGTAAGCTCATTTAAAGGGCTGCCATTGAGAGTGCTTAGGAAGATAATTTGTGATTACAATTGGTATTACTTTGTAATGGAAGCAATAACCTTCCTTGAGAAAAGAAATGCAGAAAGATCCAGTTGCACAATCACTTCATGGGTCAGGTGAGGAACAGTGAGGGCTGCCAGAAGAGAATTGACCTATGTGTTTCCTTTTCATGGTGTTTTTTTTCCCCAGAATTTCTATAATTTTCCCTTTTATTCTTCCTCTGAAGCAAAATCATCTGTGCCTGTAGCTTGTTTTCTCCCCAGGGCATTCACAGAAGCCAGCAGAAGTCTCTCTTGTCCTGAGAGCTGGCTCATGGAGCTGAGCCAGTAGAGAGGCTTTTGAGCAGGTCAAAATACAATAAAAGAGAGATTATTCAAGAGAAAAAATTAATAAGCAGCTTCTAAAAGAAAAACTAAGGATTCATTTAGAATTCTGATAAACATAACTAGATTAATTTACAGATTTTTGGGCCATAGGGATTTGTA